GTAGTTCAGAATAGGCACCCTAGTCCGAACTACCTAGTTCGAGCCCCGTGTAGCCACGCTGCACGGGGTTCGAAGCAGCGGGGATTTAAAAATGGTGGCTCCCCGATTATGCAAATGAAGCCCGGGAAATTCAAATCCCGGGCTTCATTTGCAAGTGCGGTATGCCTACATTACTCTCCTAGTTCGAACTAGCGGGGTAGTGTAGACATACCCCCAGATAGTAGGAATACAACCAGGCTACCAAGAGGGAAAATAATAGCACAGCCTCCATCCCAATACTTCTGCCCCTAAGGTCAGTTTTAGTTCAAGAATTCACTGCTCTGGAGTTATTCTGCATCTCACTCCAAAATAGCCTTTCCATCTGCCTTTGCCATCTCTTCTCAGAATCAGTAGAATCAGTGTAGAGACAATGTAGGTAGAAATGTATCTCTCATGTATCCTATAGATGTGTAACTTGGCTTCAGAATTTGGAGAGTTCATGGGAAGCACAGAAAGGCAATTAAAAGACTGTCACAGTAATACAGTATACTAATGTTAACACAAGAGTATTCCCTCTGGAAAATTGGAAACTTCATGTTTGTTTAATCCACAGAACGTAACATTATTCATATCAGAAAAGTGAAACAGTGAATGGACAGGTTTATTCCACTACATTTACCAATAAACATCTCTTCTATCCTAGTTTCAAAAAATATATAAACAAAAGGAAGTGGAAAACATGTATTAAGGGGATTTTGACAGATAGTATTTTCCATATCAGGAAAATAGACATTACAAAAACGGTCATTATAAGATAAATTTATACATTTTCCTCCCAGTAAAAGTTTGTCACTTTCATCCAAGAAAAAGTATAATTAAGAAAGAGCCATTATAACCCAGCAAATCAAAATGAAAACCAACAATTGTTGTACATTTGAGCCTTTTGTCTTCCGGTACAATAAAACAATGCCAAAACACCTCTTAATTTGTAGTCAAATTATTCTTTGCCATTAATTTTTTTTGAGTATGGCTTTTTAAACTGAAAATCCCATCAAAGTTATATCAGAACTCTATTGTGAATTTCTTACCCACCATCAGATAATTAATAGAATAAGCATTTTAATTCAATTAAATTATGCTTTTTACAAGACAAATACACAGACACACACTACTACCTCTCACAGTTTTCAGAGAGGAGATTTTTTTCTCCATCTCTGCCCCTTTAAGATAATTCTCTTACATATCTGAAGTCAAACTGTGCTCTGACTTGCACTCTGTATAACCTTACTGAAGTCAATGGCTTTGGATGGAGCGTATGACGGGAGAATTAGGTTCTTCTTATTTGACTTGAAGATCTGTTTTCCCATCCATTCACAACTACAGTACCCTGTCACAACCCCTATCAATGCTTAGTTAGATGACTGTCTGCCTCTGGATCGGCATATAGGCACTGTACAGACACACTGCTCAATAATAGTGAGAGATCATTAATCTTTTCCCCCCAAAACTGTACAGATTACTTCACAGCTCTCCGCATCAGCTAATCTAAGAACAAACAATGAGGAGTTGGCATCTATGTTTCATATATAAGAGGAAAATATAGTAGGCTTTGTGGCCCTGAGGATAAGTTTTGTACTCATTATGGATATAGTTTAATTTAATGAAACAAAACCAAAAATAATATCTTCAGAAAAGTAAACCATATAATCTTTAGGAAACAGGTTTAAATTCAAACTACATTTTCATGAATCACAAATTAAAATTGATTATAGTCTGTATTATTTCATAGTAAACTTAAAAACAACGTTATAAATGAAATAACATTTCTAAGGTATAAATGAAATAATGTGTCATACATACTATTTTTTAATGTCTATGAATATTCTGCTTGATATTCATACCTTAAATATCGTGCTAGGCTCTTCATTAAGATTTACTCGGGTTATTACACGCCCTGAATTTTCCTCTACATCAAAAATGCTGGCACTGTAAGGGAACTGGATGACATCTACTTTGTACCTTACACGACTTGCTGGCGTACCCTGTAAGGCAAATACACATTTACAAGTGTAAGAATTCCATACATATATATAATACTTTCTTAGTTTTGCACAAAATAAGGAGATGTATACAGAATGGGATAGAAAACCAAACTGAACATATAACAACACTGACTGATGGTCCATCCTCACTCGGCAAATGATGTTCATTTCTAGAGATGCTCAGAAAACAAAGATACAAATGACACTGAAGAGGTCCAAAGATGAGTGATTAAGATGATTAAAGGTTTGGAAAGATTCGCACATGAAAAAAGATTGAAAAGACTGGGACTGGTTGGTTTAAAGAAAATATAAATCGGGAGGTGAGGGGGAGTATAGGGGAGGACGGAGAAGAGCGGGTACAAAATAATGAATAGAACAAAGAATATAAATCTCACAATACAAGAACAAGAGAGCATTCACTGAAACTTAAAACCAACAAATTTAAAATTGATAAAAGGAAAGAATTTTATGTAAGCTTAATACACTTGCCTCCTTCCTCACACATAATTGAAAAAGGTACAACACTGTCTGAATTTTTCTTTACTACATCCATTTGCACAGAGAATAAGTAACATTAGCAGACTATTAAGAGATTGCATTACAAAATTGTGTGCATATGCAAATATTACTTTAAACCACTAGTGGCACAGGGACTCTCCATCAAATTTCAAGTTACAAACTGAAGCTGTTCCACTTTGTATGCATAATTAAAAGATCATCGGAACAGGAACTTGAATTTGGATCTTCCCAGGTGAATGTCCTAATCAATGGGCTATAGCCAGGTGGCCAACCCATTTAACAAAGAGAGCTGAAACAGTGGGGGAGGAGGGAAATGTGAAGAGCCACACCAGAATTGTCAAGCATCTCCCCCCCCCCCAAAAAAAGGAAAGCCACCCTCAGAATTGTCAAGCTGCCCCTTTAAGAAACAAGCTTAGGCTTTTTGGCCTAATCAGGCTCCTGTTGACGGCTGCTGTTTTTGGCACCATTTTGAATTGCTGCCCCTGTGAGCACAGGGGACCCGGGGAGAAGCCGGGGCGGGGGGAGGAGGGAGCGCAGGAGCAGCTTTGTGAGCCGCACTTTTGGGAGAGAAAAGCACATGTGGTTCATGAGCCATGGGTTGCCCACCCCTGGGCTATAGGATATAAGTGTGTCATTGACAACAGCATCACCCCTACCTGCCTAAGGCTCCAAGAGAGATTTTGGGTGGAGGAGATGTGCAGGATCTGGAAGGGAGTTTGGATGCAGAGAGCAGTCACTAGGGTCATGTATAGACTACAGGGTTTTGTCTACAAAAGTGGATTTTGTCGACAAAACTATACCTGCATCTACACTGCCATTGAGTTACGTCGACATAACCTCGACATAACTCAGCAGTTTTGTCAACGGCTGTAAACCTCATTCCATGAGGAATAACTCCTTTGTCGACATAGTTATGTTGACAAAAGGCAGGTGTGGATGCAGGGGAGAAGTTATGTTGACAGAAAAGGCCTCCAGGAAGAACCCCTGGTGGACACTCCTGCCACAGCTTTCAACTCTATTGTTCCTGCCTGTAGCCGTCTTTAAAAGGCATAGGCACCCAGGATCGGCACTCTGGAAACAAGCCACCTCCAGAGAGGGCCCTGACGGTGGAGCTCTGTTGCGTGGTGAGCCATGTCCCAGGGACAAGCCCCCAAAGACCTCCCCTGGCCCTTCCAAAGACTCATGCCCCCGGTAAGACAGGGGCACCAAACAGTGGGCACCCTCTTGGTCAGGGCCAGAAATGAAAGCCCTCCTGGAGCTGTGGGCCGAAGAGGAGGCTCTTCAGCTCCCTCAGAGCAGGCACAGGAACGCTGACATCTATGGCCGAATGGCTGACAGCCTGGCCAGGAAAGGCCACCACTCCTGCATGGCACCGCAGGTCAGGGCCAAAGTCAAGGAGTTCAGGCAGGAGTACATCAGGGCCCATGAGTGCAGCTCCCACTCCAGGGAAACGGCACATACCTGTGCATATTTCGAGGAGCTGGACAGGATCCTGGGGCCAGTAAACCCTTGCCTCCTGAGCGGCTGATGGAGTCTGGGCTGGAGACCCCCACTCAGCAGCGGTGGCAACAGCAGCCTGAGAACCCGGAGCTCCTAGAGGAGGAGGAGGACAGAGCCCAGACCACCCAGGAGCCAGACACCCAGGCGCAGGAGGCCTCCCAGGCAACTTTGGACACCGGGGAGGGAACATCAGGTGAGTGCTGTGAGGGTCCAACACACACAGGGCAGGGCAGGCAGGAGCAAAGTGCATGGTGCAATACTGTGACATGTCAAGCTGATCACAGCCTGGGGGGAAGGGGGGCACACCCATGACCACCTTCAGGGAGGGCCATCATACCCCTGCACCCTCACAGCTGCTAGGCACCACCTGCTCCTGCAGGCAGTGATGCCAGGGGCAGGCATGGGGCAGGGACGCCAGGATTGCCTCACAGCTGCAGGCCTCCCAGCAACCTGCAGGAACCCCAACTGTGGCCTGACACCGGATGGTACAGGAGAGCCGGGAGGCAGGGGCCATTCTCAGGGGCGCGGGGGCAGCTTCTTGAGCCATGGGAGTGGCTTTTCAAGCCACACCCACGGGGGGG